CCAAATATAGAGATCAAGAGACAATGGACAATAAGTATTTGGACATATTCTTAGATATTTTCTAAATTTCTAGGCACCATGAGCCTAACATGTTCACATCAAACAAGAAATGAAAATAGGAGAGGATTTATAAGTGACCGAGTAACTGTGTGTGTGTTGTATCTCTGTCAGCTGTATCCTCTTCCCTCTTCATACATGTTACATACTATATGTCAACTTATAGAAACAAGGCAGAAAACTAAGCAGTAAGTCTAGGACTATGTGTTACATCATTATCTTATTTAATAAACATGACTATCTGACAAGTTATTTTTTTTTAATCTTAAAGATTAAAATAACCCAAATGAGGTTTAAAAAAAAAAAGCCCCAAATCATATAGCTAAGTCATGACAGAGCTAGAATTTAACCCAAGTCTAACTTCAGAGTTTGTAGTCAACTACCATGCAGTATATGACCCAGAAAAAGTCTTCCATTCTTGTATGTTTGTTAAGTGGGGCTATTGAGAGAATATGGTAATGATTAATTTATATAAAATATTTAAAACAGTATAGTATCTTACACATAATACCCAATAATCTGTACTCACTCTCATTACAGTATACTATGACAGGGTTAAAAGGTCGATAAAACATGCTTCCTGCCCTTGACAAATCTAATAGGGTATTGTGGTTAGGCTTCTCAAATGGCACTCCAGTGGCTCTAATTCAGTGGCTCTTTGCCCATGAAGATGATGAGATATCACATCCATGACTATATTGCATGCAAAAGGTATTTCTGTATCAGTTGACCTGGAATCACTCCAATTATCTTGAGTATCCTAGAGATTACCTTGGTAGGCATTCCTCATCTAATCACATGAGCCCTTTAAAAGCAAAGCACTTTCTTCAATTGGTAGCAGCTGAAAAAGTCAGAGATTTGAAGCATGAGGAAGGCTTGATGCACTGTTGCTGACTCTGAAGACTGAAGGGGCTACCTGCAAAAGCTGGAACATAGTTTCTAGGAGCTAAGAGTGGCCCCTAGCCAACAGCTAGTTCTACAAGCATTGGAACTGAGCATAAAGTACCTAGTAGGGCATGACAGGTTGGAGCTGGGTTGTAATGGTTTCTGTAAACTATGTAAGGTATTTGGACTTTTTATTCTGCTACCATTGGCAGTACATTTTAAAATAACCTTTTAAAACTAACTGAAAATACCTTGACTGAAGAATCTAACACAGTATGTGTATGAGTATATATTTATGTACGTATGAAATATCTACAGTTTTATATTTTATATACATAAGACACATGTTTTAATATTTGAGGTAAGTGAATAATTCCTCTTACTATTCTTCTCTCTGTTAATATAAAACTATAAAATTGGCACACTTCAGCACTTATTAAGATGGCTAAATTCAACAAAAATGCATCCATTCACAAAAATAATTTTCTTTTGAGTAAACAAAACATAAAAATATTTTGAAACAAAACACCAAAAAGTATTCATTTTCAACAATTTATTTTGATATCTTGAAAACATCTGACATAATTATGTATATACAAGATCTTTTCAATCTACCTCTCCTTTAGTAGTTACATTAAGAGATTACCATATGTCTCAAAAGCAAACTGCTACAATTTAAAACACAATTTTCCATGAGATCTGGAATGGTCTTTCTTGATTATCAAACATGCCAGGATTAGTATTTTCTCCCATACTCAGATAAATAAAAAGGTTGGTTAAAATTTCTGTAACTTTTTTTGTTATTGTTAATTGAATGTAAAGGTAGTTTGTTTCTCTAAGCACATTGATTAGTCGGCCTCTCTCCCTAGATAGAGGGAAGGTTTTTTTTTTTTAATGTTAATATTTCTGATCACGCTACAGGTTTAGAAATAAAATGTTGAAATAACACAACTGAGCAAGGATTGTTCATTTCTCTTCCCCTCCTCTGGGGTCCTCTGTAGGAATAAAGTACTGAGGGAGGTGCATTAAAATAATGATACTCCTTGTGGCTAGCAGCAACCTTATACCCTAGGTACCTAATTTATTGCAGTGGCTTAAGCTCTGGGGAAATTCTGGATCACTAAACTACAACTAAATTCTGGATCACTATAATGTTATATCAATGGATTTTTTTTTTTTTTTTTTTT